CACAGCCTTTGTGTGAAACACCTACATCCCCGTCCTTGAATTTCAGTCTTGTCTTGTAAACAGAAGGTAACCAAAAGAGTAAATAGGGAAATCACATGTTTACAAGAAATTTCACAGAGGGTTAGTGGTGACAATGGTTGTTTTGCTGGGAATATAAATGAGGACAGTCATTGTTTTCAAAACTCCCTTCTTGGAAGTCACTCAATTGTATTCTCTGTCCTTTTACTTGCATGTGAAACTGCTAAACACCCTCCATCCCTGAATGAGGAAGGCCTCCCTCCTTTGTGGTCTCTCCTCAAACACCTGAAGTTCCACTTTCCTGAAGAGAGTAGAAAAGGCAAGTGGACATTTGGTTACAGGAGCCTCAGGACATAGAGAGGAAAGAGCCAGAGGTTCAGTGGGTGCTGGGCAAATGTCCCCTCCCCTTCTTCCCAGTGCCATTCTGAGCATCACTTTATGTCTGTCCCTCATCCTTTTAGTATTGTAGGCAAACATTGTGCTGTGGCTTCTTTCTTCCACAGTATTTAATAAGTACTATAGAGGACAGTACTGAAAATCTGTTTATGGGGCAGAACCCATGGCGCACTAGGGAGTGTGCGGCGCTGGGAGCACAGTGGCGCTCCGGCCGTGGGTTCGGATCCTATATAGGGATGGCTGGTGCGCTCACTGGCTGTGTGCGGTGTGCATGACACCAAGCCAAGGGTTGCGTTCCCCTTGCCAGTCACAAAAAAGGACAAAAAAATCTGTTTATGAATTTTACTGATTTGAGGACTTTTGAAAAAAGGGGCCAGCGTCTGAAGCTAGAATATGTCCTTAGCTGTATATTACTTTCCTTAGTAAGGAGATACATAATCCACATGAACATTCAGGTTCTAAGTGGTAAGTGCATTTGAAGAAAAAATATAGATAGGTGTTTCAAGGGGAAGATGGATTTATGTCTAGCATAGTCAAATATCACTTCCTCAAGCCAAATAAAAAGATTTAGACAATGAAATAAATCAGTGATAAATAATGGACACGAGGGAGAGGAACCAGTGAGAATCAACTTTGTTCTGATGGACAAACAGTGGGTCTGGCTGCTGCAGGCTTTGTTCAGAGGCCTCTGGAATTCAAATCCACTGCAATGATTATGTCTTTCCTAAAGTCCTACCTGGCATTGCAGCAGCCACCAAATTATGATTGAAATGGATCATGACATTATGGATAAAAACATTCATCTCAAGAAGTTACCCACAAATTAGAAACCCTCTACCCTAGGAGCAGGGATTAAACATTACAGATAGAGAGGCTGCAGATGTTAGTCATTTATACTGGCTGCTTTTTCCATTCACCAAATAAGTATGTTCTATTCTGTTTCTAGTATCTAGTGATAGTGGGCAGTTTTGTTGAACCATGCCAGAAAGTAGAAGAATTGAACTAGGTCATCTGTGAGTCACTAAAAAATTCCTTGCAGAATGGCTCCTTTGGACCAGACTAAGTGTTTGCTGTTGGGGATACAAAGATTAATGTTGTGGTCTTTGTTCTCACAGTTCCACCTCACAGAGGTAGAGATTGATGCAGAAACAGGTCACTATGATACAGAGAATCAAATGCTGATATAAAGGTTATTACAGAGTGGAAGAGAGACAGGGGCCCTAAATCCAGCCTGGAGTGATGGAGTCAGGTAAGGATTTCTGGAGGAAGGGATAACTGGGCAAGGAGTGATCCAGGTTGAGGGTTGAGTGGAGCGTTTCTCGTAGGGACATAAGTAAGGGAAAAGGCCCAGAAGGAGAAATCAGTAGGGAGCAGTGTGCTGTTAGTTTTGCTGCTGCTGGAGCACAAAGTGGTAAATGAGAACAGTGAGGAATGATGTTGGACAGGTGGGCAGGGACCACAACTCTGGGAACCTGAGAAGAATGATGCCTAGAGGATGAGGTTGTGCCGGGACTGCAGTGAAAGGAGTAACATGATCTGAATCTCAATTTTCCTTAGTGCCTGGAGTGAAATATTTATTTAAGGCAGGTAAACTAAGGGCAAGAGAATATGGATGAGGAATCCTCACATCATTAGAGTTGAAGAAACCACCTCAAGAATTCTATTACAGAAGACAAACAATGGGCAGAATGATGAAAGAATGATGACGATGTCTTGCTAATGTTCTCAGGTTACGGATGAGACCTGACACCCAGATGAAATCATAGAGAGCAATGGAGACATGTGGGCTTTGATCCTTCTCTAATGTTCCTGGAGCAAAAAGAAAGGATGTGAAGAGGGGACTGGATGTTGGACTTGCCTATGTCCTTCACTTTCCCCTCTCATTCACCCCACCCCAGTCTTTATACACCACAGTCCAATATACCAGGGAACACAGACTCTTCTCTCTTGAAGGTGCCTAATAAGAACCATGGATATGAGTGAAGAAGGAGGGGGAAAGGTAGGAAGTACTTTCCCAGGAAAGTGAGGATGACAGAGAATTCAGAAAGGGTTGGTCTAGGCTGAGAGCAAACAGAGGCTCTGGAGCTCTCGGTTCAGATTAAGAGAAGAAAAGTACTAGAAGACACCAAGATTTCAACGTTAAGGACTTATAGCTCTGTTAGCACCTTGGGGCATCTGTTTGCAGAACTCAGATTGGTAATTGTGTTTTAGTCTGTTTTTGTGCTGCTGTAACAGAATCCTTGAAACTGGGTAATGTATAAAGAAAAGAGGTTTATTTGGCTTATGATTGTGGGACAGCTGCACCTGGTGCAGGGCTCAGGCTGCTTCTACTCATGGCGGAAAGCAGAGGCGGCCGGCAGGTAGAAATGGATCACACGGTGAGAGGAAGTGAGACAGAGAGAGAGAGAGAGAGAGAGAGAGAGAGAGAGAGAGAGAGAGGAGATGTTGAGGTTCTTAAAGAACCAGCTCTTGCAGGAACTAATAGAGCACAAACTCACTCACTACCCCCACCCCTCTGGAGAGCATTAATCCATTCATGAAGGATCTGACCCCAAGACCTAAACACCTCCAAGCACTGCCAGATTGGGGATCCGATTTCCACATGAGTGTTTGGGGGTACAACACATACAAACTCTACCACTGTGTCACTGGACATTGTAGTCCAGGGCAATGCTATGGTGTCAAAGTGTGCCCTAGGGACCCACAAAGAGTAGCTGTCCCCATAATCTCCATTAGCTACCCACCCAAGCAATATACACCTAAAGACAAAACCCACTATACGGTAACAATTTTAAGCAAGTAATCTACAGACTTTCCCTTCCGAGCAATTAGCCTCAAGAGCTCCTTCTCTATGGGTATTATTGGTTTCCCTGTCCTAAGCTTAACAACAGTCAATGACCTTTTCCCTCAACCACCTCTTTCCTCTATTTCCCTCAACACCTACTTGGCTGTGCAGGTTTGGCAACATGCACCCAGGACAGGAACCAACTCCCCCAAATCTTGTTCTCTCATAGAGGGTGGACGAGGAAGAATGTTGGCCCCCCACAAGAAGAGCAGGGAGACAGAGCCAGGGTGGTGGTATGGGGCTTGGCTGATTGCTGCTGTAGGAGGCATGAGTGTCTTGGGCCCAGGTATGGAAGCCTTGGTGACTACAAGTTGACATGTTATACATTTTATGGCCCAGGGGTCTAAATCCCCACTGACTTGTTAGAGAAATTGATCAAGGGTGAATTCATTCCCTGATGAGTTTGTTTCCAGGGCAGGGACTCCACAGGAAGGTTTCTCTGACCTGCCTGTTCTTTATCCCTGGGAGACTAAGAATGTGGCCAACTCTGATTCCTCTTTCCTTGGTCTTTTTTACTTCTGGAAGAAATTACTGTAGTCTTGCTTGGATCTCTTCTTGGGGACAAGGGTCAGCATTTTCTACTGTGGTTTCCTCGTCAGGCAGGTTGCTGAATTGCAGAATTTCCCAGGATTCACTATGGTAGTGGTTTTCAGAATTTAGCCTGCACCAAGATGGTGTTAAAGACTTTTTTTTTTGAGGTTTAGCTCCACCATTTATTTTTTGTTTTCATCCAAATTTTATATTATTTTGTCAATATACAATGTGGTTGATTATTGTGGCCAATTACTGAAACCTCCCTCACTCCTCCCTTTTCCCTCTTCCTCCCAACAACGTCCTTTCTCCCTCCCTCCTCCCTCTCCCTCCTCTCTCCCAACAATGTCTTTTCTGTTTGCTTTTTGTATCAACTTCAAGGAATTGTAATTCTTATGTCTTCTTCCCTCCCCCCTTTCCGTTTTTTTTTGTATTTATTTATTCATTTTTAGCTCTCACATATAAATGAGAACATATGATATTTCTCTTTCTGTGCCTGACTTGTTTCACTTATAATTCTCTCCAGGTCCATCAATGTCATTGAAAATGGCAGTATTTCATTC